TACATCGGTTTTCCTTGTAGGTGGGGTTTTCTGACCCCTGGCTAAGGTACTTAAACAACAACCAATCAACTAGTTTCATGTTGTACTGTAAATGCTGTAGTTGCCTGCTCCAGCTTGGTCATCATGAACCTTACTGTATATCTTACTGCTCAAATCCAGGATGACACCAGATCACATGTCATTTGTATTTTAAAGGTTCAAAAAGAAGGATGGACATATCAAAAAGAGAATTAATCTACTGTAATATGGGTCACGTGGGTCAGTGCTCTGAGGGCATCAGTGGGCCTGAGTCCTTTGGGTGATCAATAACATACTGAATTATCAGTCTAGCCCTGTGATTGACTGTCGACCTGTCCAGGGTGTTTCCTGTCTTATGCCCAGTGACCGCTGGGATAGGGTCCAGCAACCTCCGTGGCGCAGGAGGACAAGCGGTTTAGATAATGTGTGGGAGCAAAGAAGCTGCATCCTGTCTGCAAATGCATTAAATCCATGGCCAGGAGTCCAAGAAGGTATAACTGACTTCGCTCTTTCTGGGTGGGTAGGATGCTCCTCCCTCTCCTCCATCGCTTAGTGTGATGCTAGCCAACTCAGGCATCTGTTAACTGACATAAAAGAATTAGCAGTTAGCATTGTTCTCCAAGAAATGTCTAATGAAGTTGTTTAGGCAGCAGGTGGAAAAGATAAGAGGAGACTGAACTAGCAGCTGGAACTAACCATGACTAAAACTGGGAGGAAATTGAGTAAAATAACAAAAAATATTATTATTATTATTAATTCTAAATGGAGAAATGGTCAGCCCAGTAAAGCAATAGAGTGTATGAAAGTATTTAATTGCAAAAGAAGGCAACATCAAATACTACAATACAAGTACTATAAACAGGACTGCCAATAACTGTGTTTCCATTTTTTTCTAGGAAAAAAATGTTCATCTTGGTTGTGCTGGACAATTATTAAATACTTCATTTTTTAATAAAGTTATTACTAAGAGATCCCTAATTTAATGGTTATAAATTCTCTGTTCCTCTCAAAATGTCTGTGTTCTTTGTTTCTAGGTTCCTTATCATCACTCATGTGTCCTTAATTAGATGCATAATAATAGAAATCACACACAATGCCTGCTCCTGTTCTCAAACTTGCATTATTATTTTATTTCAAACAAATATTTCAAAGAAACGTCTTTCAGAAACTTCTCTGAGCAAACATTGGGATTTGGAGCATAGCTAAAGATGTTAAACATTTGCTGAGGAGCTGCTGGTTGGTCTTCAGATGATATGCATATATATATATATATATATATATATATATATATATATATATATATATAATATATATATATATAGCACCAGAAAATCCTAACATAAAGGCTAAGATCACAGTCTTTGTGGAGAAGCTATTGTTTAAGCATAACAACTCTACCTCTCTCTTGGTGAGGGATCTCTGTGAGCTCCGTAGCCTAAATGACTGAAAATGACGTTGTAAGAGAGCAACCTTCAAGGGGAGGAGTCCAGCAAGAACCTCAGAAGTCTCTCTATCCAATTGAAGGGCTCGTAAATCTGGTTAGGGTACAGTGCCACCTAGTGAATAAAATGGTACTGAAACAGGAAATCATTCATTCTAAAATTAACCCCACAAAAAGGGAAAGTCTACAGAGATGACTGCATAGACATAATGATCAGATATAATGAGCGTATATCCATAGACATAATGAGCATAATGGCCTTCTATTCCATATCTAAACATTGTCACATCACAGATTTTGATTATGAGAATAGCTGAGATGTCAATCAAACATTTCTGTGTGCTTTAAATTGAGAAAAAATATTAAAAACTCTCCTTTTTGTTTTTTTTCCATTTACATTAACTATTATTGTTTCTTTTTCTTGTTATTATTTATTTTAAACAACAGTAGATGCTAGTTGCAATGGACCAGTTTAGAACTTGTATAAAACATAATAAAAATAATTATAATTACAAAAATTCTATTCTTTATAAATTAATAAAAATGCATACGTGTGTTTATTGCTTTCTATGGAAAAAAGTTTGCGTTAAGTCAACTTCTGATAGTTAGTTAACATGACAGAAATTTGTGCCTTTCCTTTTGATGACTTCTTGTTCAGAGACTTTTATCTACCCAAAGTTGTGGACACTCCTTATTCAAATACAGTCTGGTATATTAAACATGTTCTTGGCTTCCCAGTTAATCTCTCAGACAACACTTCCACAGCACTCTCGATTTATGGTTCAGAGCTTCAACAGGAAGATGAATCTTAGTTACTGTATATTAATGATACTAATTTCATGTAAGTTCCAGACTTTCAGACTGTTATTGCTTTCTCAGAGATTCTGAGACTATGCAGTTAATAAATTCTACTTTTATATCTCTAAGAGAATTTATCATATATATATATATATTTTTTTTTTTCAAAATGGGAAGGTATAATAGAATATACTTAAAATCATTGATGTTTCATTTATTTCATTAGTTTAACTTCTTAATGTTTTTTCCCACTATTATACTTATCTGCCTATTATTACTGTTTTTTTCAGATACTAATGGACAGTCTCTGACCTCCTCTGAATCAGTGGTGGAGAAACCTGGGAAATCGGTCACCCTGTCCTGTTCTGTGTCTGGGCTTACTCTTAGCTATTTGCACTGGATCCGTCAGAAACCTGGACAAGGACTGGAGTGGCTTGGCCGCATTGATGATGGCACAGGCACTATATTTGCCCAGTCACTACAGGACCAGTTCTCCATCACTAAAGACACCAGTAAAAACATGCTGTACCTGCAGGTGAAGAGCCTGAAAGCTGAAGACACGGCTGTTTATTACTGTGCAAAACAGTCACACTGACACAAAAAGGCTACAGACTCATATAAAAACCTGCGTAAGAACAACCTGTAAACACTCCATTAGTGGAAACAGAACCATAGAGACATTCATTATCAACAACACTGTGATTTTGCATGTAGTGCTTTGTTTTGACTCTGTTTTTGTCAGGCTCATCTGTTAACTTGCCTTTGGGAGTTTCTCTCTGGCCAGTAAACAAGGCTGATGTTGGTTTATCAAAACACATGTGCAGGTGTTTCTTGATATTTTCTCTGGACTTCCCAGCTAAGCAGCTTATGAGAGTCCGTGCCCTTCCTGAATCACTGACTGACTGATCACCATTAAGTGCATCAGAATATAAACTAAAATAGTATTTTGATGTTTTACTGATGTGTTACTTTTTGTAAATACTTTACCAATGTAATGTTAGCTAGCTTGTATGCTATAGTGCTAGCACTATTAGCCTGTATGCTAGCAGCTAGAGAATAAGTTTTTTGGGTTATATTTTTACACTTTCAATATCAAATAATAATTTTGTGTTTACACATGATTCTATGAAACAGTAGCAAAGACTTGTGTGACTGTGCATGCAAGTACAAATCATATTGGAGTCTGTTATTATGCTAATAGCAGATCTACCACCTGCTAATTTAGATTTAGCAAGAGAACTAACTAATCTTCATAGGTTTATTTATGACATAGAAATAAATACAGCAGGTCTCAATTTTGAAAAAAATAATCTTGATTGATTGTGCTAAAAAACATCCCATTGTGGAATCTAGTGGAATCTAGAACCAGCTGCTTTGAACTGCAGTCTAGACTGGGATACGATATGGTCAAATCTTATCGTAACTTCAAAAAATTCAGTTCAACTCATCCATTTAGAGTTTATTCATAGATGCCTTATTGACGATTTCAAACTCAAACCTACATGTCATTGTCACATACGTTGTACAGTTTCATCAATGGAAAAATATTGACTCTTCTTTCTATAAAAGGCAGTATTTTTACCCACAAGCCTCAGCATTTAAACACATTTAAAAGAAAAGCTATCCCATTCTACATTACTTTATGTGTGCGTGTCATTCTTGCTAATTTACTGACTAATGATTGTTGATGTTGTTAAGACCATTAAACGGTTTATGTGTTGCTATCCTTGGCTTGGCCCAATTTTTTTTGAATGGGAGTGTTTGTCTCATAAATGGTGATACATCTTAAATGTAATACAAAGTAACATGTTATTTGCTGCATTTACTTCTGCTAAGAAAACAATTTTACAAAGCTGAATTATATCCAGGACTCATATGCAATCATTGAGGACATCAGGTTCACTCAAAACAGCTTGCCTGCACCACACACAACCTACCACTGTTGAAGCCTGGCAATCTCTTGCATTACATATCCTGGACATTATGCAGCATACAAACTGAAGTATAAGTCAATAGAAAGTGATGCATGCAAACACTCTTAGCCTTTTAAACTGGTAACGTATGGGAAGAAGTGCAGGTTCACTTTGAATATTTGGTTGCTGTAGAGGTATGCACAAAATAGTGGGTTTAGTGGGACATGGTCACTATGATCCAAGTTGAAGACGTGCCCTATAGACAGCCCCCCCTCACCCCCCGGGGCCTCAATTGTTCACTAATCTTGAAGGAAGAAGACATGATTCCATTAAGCTTTTCAAGGGAGAATATTTCAAGTACTTGTTATTTGTCCTATTTGATAAAATGGAAAACACATACAGAGCATTTTGGAAGCCTTATTTTATACTTGTTTTATTTTCGTCTTTCATATTTATCACACACTTCCAATATTTCTGCACTCTGCCATGAGTTTTCACATATTCTAATCTGGCTATACTTTTCATAAACACAATACTGAAACACTTACCCAGTCTTGGAAAAACTAGTTTACAACAAATTTTAAATTTCCTCAAGAAATCATTGACATTTCTGAATACATGTATTATTTTCAAGGACAAGTAAAGTCTTTTTTGTTAAACTAGAAGAAACAAACTTTGCATGATATGCAACATGTGTAATCAGAGTTAAAATACAGTAAATTTAATTGTCCCAAGCTAATCAGCCCAAAGTTGTGGACACTCCCTATTCAAATACAGTCTGGCTTATAAAGCAAGTTCTTGGCTTTATTTGTTATCCGCGATCTCTCAGACAACACTGTCACACACTCTAGAACATTCTAACTGTTTTGTTCAGAGCTTCAGCAAGAAGATGAATCTAAGTTATTGTATTTTAATGGTACTAGTTTCATGTAAGTTTTACATTTTTACACTGTTATTGTTACCTCTGAGAATATCCTCTCTTCTGAAAGTATAAAATGATGCAGGTAATAATTCTAATTATGTTAATAATTATATAATTATGCTTTTTTTTCCCAGATACATATGGACAGCCACTGACCTCCTCTGAATCAGTGGTGGAGAAACCTGGGAAATCGGTCACTCTGTCCTGTTCTGTGTCTGGTATCTCAATGAGTGGCTACTACATGCACTGGATCCGTCAGAAACCTGGGAAAGGACTGGAGTGGATTGGTTACATTAGTACTGGCACTAGCACTGGCTTTGCCCAGTCACTACAGGGCCAGTTCTCCATCACTAAAGACACCAGTAAAAACATGCTGTACCTGCAGGTGAAGAGCCTGAAAGCTGAAGACACGGCTGTTTATTACTGTGCAGCGGAGTCACACTGACACAAAAAGGCTACAGACTCGTATAAAAACCTGCTCAAGTTCATCCTTCTGAACATACATATTGAAGCCACTAGAGGGCAGACTACGCAAAGTGACCAACAACAGACTGAAACCATCTCAAACATAACGTTTTGCAATATCTGCAATAGATAAAGAGCTGCATGAAATATGGTATAGTGTTTGAACTACACTCTGCACAGGGGGGCAGATATCAATGGACTTCAACACACCTGCTGTGGTAGATATCAACATTTAACATATTGTTAGACAATACTTAATTATCATTGAATACTCTTCATTGCGGATCATATCTAAGTACATCCAACCCTTTGATCAGTATCTGTCTGGCTTATTAAGCACATTTGTAAACTTCTCAGACCATCTGAGTACAAAAGACCATTTCTGAATAGAATTATCATTTTATAGAAATTCTACAGAATAGCAGAGCTAAAACGTAGGAAATATATTTAACAAAAAAAGTATCTATTTAAAAATTTGCCTTTATTACAGTGTAGACAACTGTGTTTGGGCAAAATAGTGGAAGTAATCTTCAACAAGGCTGATGATTCGAGTTACGGGCTTAATAAGCCCTGATTCACCACCTTTTGCCAAAAACTGTGCCCATATTTTCCTGTTTTTATCAAGAACATGATAAAAACCTGGTCATTCTTAGAAGTTGATGTGCATAAAGGAACTGCACAATGCACAACTGTCATGATATGCAAAAAATTAATTAAGCTACTCAAAAGGTAATTAAAAAAAATACAAGAATGTAGCTACATGAGTAGCTGGCATGTATATGTTGCTAACTCTGATAGGTACTGATCTATCATCACCTATGCCAACTTTAGTCCCACCCAACCCAAACCAGACTGAGGAAAATGGCAGAAAAAAGTCATTTCAAAATCTCTTAACAGAAAAGATTAACATCATTCTTTTTCAGACAGTTGATAGTTAAAAAACATCTCTAAAACTATCGATAATAAAAGAAGATCAGTAGACAAGGGCTTTAATGGTTATTATGACAGGAAATTAATAAATAATGGCTGATCTCTAACTTTTGCAGAAGACTGCTAAACATCCCAGAGCATCTTGTGCATTCAGACTTTCCGTGTAAGCATCAAGATTTAATCTAAATATTGGAAGAGAGCAGAGCTGCATTATAACCAGTAACATTACCATTATTGCACAAACAGTAAGGTCTACAATTTAGACTTATTTTTAACAATTTGTGAAGACAAAGAAGTTTTGTTTCCAATTATGCATACACATTTTTTGTAAACATATGGAAATGAATGGCAACATCCTCTTTATTTAAATATACTGCCTGAACTGAAGGCTTTTATCTGCCCAGAGTTGTGGACACTCCTTATTCAAATACAGACTGATATATATATACAGCACAATTTTCATTTTCACTTCCCAGTTATCAGCAACCTCTCAAAAAGGGCTTTTACAACACTCTCCATTTATGGTTCAGAACTTCAGCAGGAAAATGAAACTAAGTTATTGTATATTAATGGTACTAATTTCATGTGAGTTCCAACATTTTTCAGACTTTTACCATCTCTGAAAATGTTCTCTCTTCGGAGAGTTTGACAGCATGCAGTTCATGTTTATAATGACATTTTGTTGTTAATTATCTAATGACTCTTTTCCAGATTCTTATGGACAGTCTCTGACCTCCTCTGAGTCAGTGGTGGAGAAACCTGGGAAATCGGTCACTCTGCCCTGTTCTGTGTCTGGTTTCTCGATGGGCAGCTACTGGATGAACTGGGTCCGTCAAAAACCCGGGAAAGGACTGGAGTGGTTTGGTCGCATTGATGGTGGCACTAGCACTTACTTTGCCCAGTCACTACAGGGCCAGTTCTCCATCACTAAAGACACCAGTAAAAACATGGTCTACCTGCAGGTGAAGAGCCTGAAAGCTGAAGACACGGCTGTTTATTACTGTGCGAGAGACTCACACTGACACAAAAAGGCTACAGACTCAAATAAAAACCTGCTCAAGCTCATCTTCTGTTGGCCAGATGTGACAGAGCTGTAAACATCCTCTTAGCAATGAACCCCAGAGACATTCATCAGAGTCAACATATTTGTTAAATTAGAAGTATTTGGCGCATGTTTATGTGATTGACCACTCATGCTTTTCGTGCATGTACATATGTATTGGGGAAATGGGTGAATTTCTGATATGTCACTGTAATTTTTGGAGGCGACTGAATAGGTTGCATTTATAAAGATGACAGCAGTGAACAGTGATGTCATTGCAGAGGCACCAGTATGAATTTTGGGTACCCTGAATATTTCATATGTGAGCCCCTTGCTGCACCACATTTCCATCCTGTCACGAGAATACTACGTGCCAAATGTACTCTTTATTGTATTATAATTCCATAATTCTAACTCTTATTTAGCATTCAAAACTGCCACTTGCAAAACTGACCGAAACTGTAATGTTTGTTGCTTCTCAAAGGCATTGCATCTTGGCTATTGAAGCAGAACTGTTTAACTGGACCAGTTAAAGGTTTACATTTCTACAGTTCAGACAACATAACATCTTAACACAGAAACTGGAGGTAAGTTGCACTGTTGATAACTTTGCAATAGATTTACAAACATTTAGTTTTATTTACACTCCATCACACCATTTACATTTCACAGTTAAAGTGTGTCTTGATAATCCACACTTACCTCTAAAAACTAGGTGATATAATGTACTGTCTCATTATTACAGACTGTGACCACTGAGCTTTTACATGGAGGGGTTGTCTGGGGGGTGACAATGCAAGATGCATTGATGAATAGTGGGTTGCCAGCACCATTTAATTAAATGCATTACATGTGTGATGTTTATGCAGTGATAATCATGTTATTTATATGTGAGTATTAGTACACAGAGATTGTCTAACTGATTGTATTTTAGGGTTTATTTTCTTGATTTTTTTTCCTTTGTTTTTTGTGCTCACACTGTGTGGGCAAAGGTGACTACATGATAAATGATGTTGCACTGGGCTGCTCATTTGGAGGTATTTTCCTCATGTGTAAATAAAGATCTTTATGTGGATATTTATGGGTGTGGTATGGTTGCCCTTAAGAGGTCAAATTTTGTATTAGTAAGTGCAAGCAGAAGGAAAGTGATGCATTCATTATCAATAAATGTGAACATCCGAATATTAGAATCAGGTATGTTGGAGATCAACTCTGTAGGGTGTTAGATCTCCAAGAATTGACTTGGATACATCTATTTTGGGTATCAACATTCTACAAAATGTTATAAAATGCAGTGAAAAGAGATGAACACTCAACATAGCATTAGAAAATATTTCATTATATATATATATATATATATATATATATATATATATATATATATATATATATATCGTTTTATTATGTGTTTATACTAGCACATAGATGATTTTTAAATGGTGTGAGAATCACACTGAACATGCTCTCTGGCAGTTAATATGATGTTATGATTAAAATTGCCTCTGTAGTCTAAGACCATTTCTATGGATTCTCCCAGTATATGAGACGGATATGTGGGATTCCCAAAACAGTACATTGATTGTGCGACAGAGTTTTATTATTCAAGTCTCTATTCTATTGAGTTTAGAGACATACTTTGATAGATATATTTACCTAATTTTATGTACTTAGTATAATTGGACAGTGCTCCTTCCATAGTTACTTAATTATCATCACAAACTCTGAACATACATATTGAGGCCACTTGAGGGCAGACTATGCAAAGTAACCAACACACACCCACACAGACTCAAACCATCACAAACCTAATGTTTTGCAATGTCTGCAATTGATATAGAGCTACATAAAATATGCCATAAAATCATTATATTAATGTCTATACAAGGAGATAAGAACAGAGCATTAAAGCAATAGGAGAAGGTTCATCAAATATAATGGTTGTTGATGGTTTTGACCTGGTCAGAGTCCAGATTTAAATCCTATACTGGGTCTTACATTAAGAGCAAACTAGCTCTGCAATGTTTTTGTTTAAGCCGTCAATGCCGAGTGGAAAAATACTGACTCTTCCTTCTGTAAAAGATTGTCTGCAAATTTACATACAAAACTTCAACATTCCAAAAATCTAAGTGAAAAGTTATCCAATATTAAGCTACTTTATCTATTTGTTTAATGTTTTGTTGTTAAAACCTTTATGAGTTTAATATATTAAGGCTATTAAAAGTAGTTTGGTGGAGACATTTAAATGTAAGCTACAGGTTTACTTGAGGCAACAGAAATAACATTCTGAATTCTAGTGATATTACTTGCATTTTGCCAAATTAAATTATATAATTACATAGTTAATTACATAGTTATATGACGGTTCTGTTAGCATTCAGTTTAACTGCGTTCTACAGGCTCTTGTCTGCAATTCTGATGTGATATTTTCTTCTATTTTAGATGTCAGGAAATGACAAACATGGCAAAAGAACAATATTTTGAACCTTAGGTCTTTGAATGTTTATAATTTGGCTTAAGAAAGAAAATACAAATCAACACAATCTTGTTTAAATGGTAGCTGGTGTCAGTTGAGATCAGAGACTAAACTTACATACATACATACGTACATCATCTAAACCGCTTATCCTTCTGGGTCGCGGTGGGGTGCTGGAGCCTATCCCAGCTGTCATTGGGCGGAAGGCAGGATACACCCTGGACAGGTCGCCAGTCCATCACAGGGCAGACAGACAGACATACACAGTCACACACACACTTAGGGGCAATTCAGCATGTCCAATTGGCCTGACTGCATGTTTTTGGACTGTGGGAGGAAACCGGAGTACCCGGAGGAAACCCACGCAGACACGGGGAGAACATGCAAACACAGAAATGACCCTGGTCACCCGGCCGGGAATCAAACCCAGGCCATTCTTGCTGTGAGGTGACAGCGCTACCCACTGCGCCACCGTGCCGCCCCGAGACTAAACTTGATGAGACTAATTTCTGAGTGCAAGTCTGAGACAATGCAAACAAAAAAAGTCCTGTCTCCAGATATGAGTACCACAGCACTAGAAAACCTAAACAAAGCTTCTGCAAATTATAAAAATACTCTGTGTTTCTTATTTCCTTTTTGTGGAAGAAATCTATATGTAGTATGTCAAGGTTAATTCACCAATTAACCCCTCTAAAATTCCAGGCTTTTTAAGGTTATAAAAGTGTGTAATAAAATTTCATGCCCACCAGTGGATCCTGTCCATTTAAGGGGTTAAGGGTACTTTAATGATCATGATGGAAATATATTTCTTTACAAATCATTATTTGTAATTTTCTTTTTCATGATGTTTAACAGTCAGACACCACCATCGATTTATTCATTGCCAGTCAAAACAGCTATTGAGTACAAATGATTCATTTTCATCAAGAAAACAAGCTGAA